TATTGATAAAGATGGTTACAATAGAAATCTTAAATTGTATGACAGATAGTAGGCGTTTTTTTCTAAAAGGATTTTATGCATCAATAATCATGTGATTGACACATAAAAAAATCTAGCCCATTAAGAACGACTTCTCAATAAAAAAAACCAACACTTTATTTTATGTATAATTGTAATGTGTACTGTAAGAACTTAAAGAGACCCTACCAAAATCTTCAGTTGCTTGCATGTATGAAAATAGTTAAAGAAAAATGTAACTAAAACTTTTGACAGTTTCCAGTCTATTACATGTTTGTCATTTTCCTGATTTTATGCAGATATTCACTAATAAATAAGTTTATGATTTCAGTGGGTCACATCAGATTTGTATTCATGTAGTGCCCAGTGGCAGAGCGCATGCTGCTAAGTTATTGCATAGTCCCAACAATTCACGTCTAAGTAACGGTCTTGCAAACAAACATAAAATATGCAATGTGGAGTCAATGCTTAAAATCATTTTTTAAGCCACTATATTGATGCTCATTTGTGCAAGCTTTCTAAACTATACACTTTATACTCACTTCCAGCACTACACCAGCACAGTTACAAATTACTACCAAAATTTCTAACTTATACTGACAAAATATGTACAGGAAAGTGGAATAACAACAAACCGAAGAAATATACCCATCCCCCATTAATAAAAAGCATTAAGAACACGAGGAACAACAACAAAAACTCTTTTGAATCAGTAAAACTCCGTCGAAAGATGCTTGATTACTCTTTCTCTCGAGGCAGCTGCAAACGAATAAAGGTTATAAAGGAACAACAACAAAAACTCTTTCGAATCAGTAAAACTCCATCGAAAGATGCTTGATTACTCTTTCTCTCGAGGCAGCTGCAAACGAATAAAGGTTATACCCNTCGAAAGATGCTTGATTACTCTTTCTCTCGAGGCAGCTGCAAACGAATAAAGGTTATACCCTTCAAGTCAGTTTCAAGAAAGACTTATCTTTAGTTTATGCCATGCAGGACTCACTCTTAACCATCTCTAAAATAAAATCATACTCACAGGGAGGACTTCATGAGAAAATGTCACACCACAGCTGGATAACACCATTTATACTAGGTGATCATAATCGCTGAGTTGGGGGCTATCTTAAGAGGTCCTCATTATTTAGGGATGAGGTCAGGAAAAAGGTCAAAATTTGAAACTAAAACAAGAAAAAAAGAGAACTAAACTAAAGCTAGGAAAAATGACGAGTAATCCACTCAAGGATGAAATTTATGTTACGGATATGATTAGGGTTTCTTCCAATTGAATAAATAAAGCCAAAAATTTCTTCTCCCCTTGCTCCCAAAATACCCAGCAATCTACTCAACTGTGTGGTGATACGTGAATTAATTGCTGTTTGACATAACAAAAGGTTTCTGCATGGATTCTAGAAAAAGGAAAGA